CTTAATAAGGAAGAAAGACATAGACCCATAATAAATACCCCCTTTATGACAACTATAGAAGGTTTTAGGTATCTAGGTGTCAGAATTACCCCCGATCTTAGCGAAATAATCTAAAAAAATTATGATCCCCTAGTGGAAAGAACCACTGATGTATTGAAAAAATGGACAAATTTACCAATATCCATGATCGGACGAATTAATATAATTAAAATGTCTATTCTACCCAAATTCTTATACTTTTTTCAAACACTCCCATTGCCGTTACCAAACATCTTTTATGATAAAATTGAAAAGCTATGAATGATAGAAAAGCTAGACTTCGCCTTAAGCTATTACATCTGCCCTATGAAAGGGGAGGGCTTCAACTTCCCAATTTTAGATGGTACTATATGGCTGCCCAACTTACTTCAGCACTAAATTACTTCAGTACAATAACACCTGCTTGGGTAGACATTGAACAAAACTCCATCCCAGATATACCATTAAAAATGTACCTATACTCTTCAGATACTAAGTCATTGAAGAAGAACACAAAAAACCCTTTCCTTAAAAATACTGTTTCAGTCTGGCATGCTGCATATAGGTGATATGCAGAGATTATCCCAATTTACTCCTATTTGGGGTAATGAACAATTTACACCTGGTAATAAAGATGGAGGATTTAAGATATGGAATATTAGAAGCATTCAGAAAATTATGGATTTATATGAAGATGGAGTTCTACTTTCTTTTGATCAGCTATACCAGAGATATGTAATTCCCAAAAAGCATTTTTTTAAGTATTTACAGTTGAAAAGTTACATGTCATCAAAAGAAGAACAGATCATCTGTATACCATCTTTATCAAAATTAGAGGAAATTACTCTCGGAAATTTAGAAGGTAAGGGTCACGTATCTGTGTACTATAATTTAATGGTGAAACACAGTACTGAATCAACATTGGACAAATTAAATGCCTGGAAAATGGATATACAGGAAGATATAGATGAGGAAGACTGGAACTATGCTTGTCTTAAAGCACAAATGCAGACAATAAATACAAGGTTTAAATTACTTCAATATAAATGGTTAATGAGAACCTATATAACTCCTGTAAAACTTCATCAAATGTCTGCTAATATTCCAGATATATGTTCTAAATGCTTGAACGATAAAGGTACACTATATCATTGCCTCTGGGAATGTCCAAAGATACAAAACTTTTGGAAGGAGGTTATAAAATGTTTGTCAGACATGTTTAATATTGCAATTCCTTTGAATGCAAAACGTTGTATTCTTGGAATATATCCAATGGACGTTATGCAAACATCAAGGCAGATTAAACTTGTAGACTTTGGTCTCCTTCAAGCCAGAAGAGTTAGTGCATTAGGCTGGAAGAGTATGGATGCTCCATCTATGAAAATGTGGACAAAGGAATCATGTGAAATGGAAATGTAGACCTTACTGAAAAAGACATTGTAAAACATTCTCTATAACAAATTTATTTATATATTTATTTATTTTATTATTATTTTATTGTATTTTATTTTATTATTTTGTATGCATTTATTTAAAGAAAAAAAAGTGTTAATTGAACATGTAAGTGAAGGGGTGTATGCTTGTGTACTTGTTCTGGTGTTACATAGGCTATTTTGTTGCTACATGTATAACTGATGTGTGTTTATAAAATAAGAAAAAGGACAATAAACATATTGGGGAAGAAAACAAACAAACAAAACAAACAAACAAATGACAACTAAAATAAAAAAAAGAAAAGAAAGAAGAGCCTCTAACACTAGCATTCTCTATTCTTTCTACTTATTTGCTTTTTATTGATTATAAATAATGACCTTCTAACACTTGCATTATCTATTCTTTTTCTGTTCTATTGACTTGTTTTATTTTTATGTAAAAATGAAAAATCTAACACTAGCATTCCCTATTCCTTTTCTATTTTTTCTATTTATTATAAAAACAAAATAAGCAAACAAACAAACAAAAACCTTGCTATGTATACTGTAAGGCGAAGCTAAAACTAAAATATGGTCACCCTAGCTTGCATTTGAGGATCCTTAGATCACATATTGGGGAAAAAGGGAAAAAAAATTTAAATGTTAAGTCCCACAAGTACTTCTATTTTGAAAAAAAAAAAAAAAAAAGTGTTACAACCAGAAGTGGTCCTCATCTGTTTTATAATATATGGGGCATATTTGCCATGTTAAATGTGGGACAAGTTGGCTTACACACTGATCAGCGAATGCTGACTGTGCCGTATATTTGCTAAAAGTGGCCCAAATTGTTATTAATTATTTGGGCAATATTTGTCATTTTATATGCGGGCCACATTTGCGGCATCATATAAGGGCCACTTTAGGCTGACAGCCACATTAGCCAATTCTCACTGAGCCATATCTTTGACAAAACTGGCCCAGATATGTTTGAGGATAACTGGACCACATTTGTGGCATCATATGCGGGCCACTTTAGATAGACTCACAGCCACATTAGCCAGTGCTTACCATTAGTGGTCGACCGATACAGTGGTGTGAAAAAGTGTTGGCCCCCCTTCCTGATTTTTTATTTTTTTTTGCTTGTTTGTCTCACTTTAATGTTTCAGATCATTAAACAAATTTAAATATTAGTAAAAGATAACACAAGTGAACACAACATGCAGTTTTTAAATTATGGTTTTTATTATTAAGGGAAAACAAAATCCAAAACTACATGGCCCTGTGTGAAGAAGTGTTTGCCTCTAAACCTAATAACTGGTTGGGCCACCCTTAGCAGCAACAACTGCAATCAAGCGTTTGCGATAACTTGCAATGAGTCTGTTACAGCGCTGTGGAGGAGTTTTGGTCCACTCATCTATGCAGAATTGTTGTAATTCAGCCACATTGGAGGGTTTTCGAGCATGAACCGCCTTTTTAAGGTCATGCCACAGCATCTCAATAGGATTCAGGTCAGGACTTTGACTTTTAAACAAATCTTTGAATGACTAATAAACATCTAATTTAAAAAACCTTGCAGACTTAGTCGGATCCAGCTGTGAGATCGTGTGAAGTGTGCGTGTGTATGCTGCATGATCGCGTGTTCTCTGCGTGACGGTCGAGCCGTGTGAATTGAATGCAGACAGGAGGAGAGTTCAGCTTCACTGGAGACTTTAAACTCGTGATTTCAAATTATGCTGCGCTTTATGCATTTACCCGCTGCCATATTCATGTCATTTTCACTGTGTGCTGTATGTAAAATGAGTGTTACCTTGGCTTTATTTGAAAAAATATGATTCCCAATGCACACAAACTTCCCAGAATACTGAGTGCCCTGTTGGTAACAGTGTTTACTTCCTTTTTAATTATATTTTTATTAAATATGTATTTATTTGTGAAAAATACTTTGTCATTTAAAGTTTAAATGTTTATTTAACACATTTATTTTTTAATCAATATTAACCAATATCGGTCAACCACTACTTACCATGCCAAACCTGGCCCAGATATGTTTGAGGATAACTGGGCCACATTTGTGGCATCATATGCGGGCCACTTTAGACTCACAGCCACATTAGCCAGTGCTCTCTGTGCCATATCTTTGCCCAAACTGGCTCAGATACGTTTAATTTGCTGAAACATATGTGGACCACATTTGGTTTACACCCTGATTAGCCTTTGTCGATTGTGCCACATTTTTGCCAAAGGTGGCCCACATTTGGTTGATACTATTTGGGCCATAATCACTGTTTACCACATGGGCCACTTTAGGGTCACATTCAGATTACACATTGCCGTCAACACCGCATCTTTACCTACAGAGGCCCACATGTGATTTGATACATTTGGGCAATTTTTGCTGTTTTACATATGGGCCACTTCAGGCTTGCATCCATTTTGTACGGGCCATAAGAAGGCCAGCAGTGCTATATCATTGCCTTAAGTGGCCACATCCACAGTCATGTGTCATATGTCATTTGAAAGGTCCCATCGAGTAGAATAAAACAAAATATAATTGTTTGGGGCTTTGACTAAACTTGAGTGCGGCATTACTTCAAATTCAAAACAAAATTTCAATTTCAATAAGTGCTCGCTTTTTAATTTCACTTTCGATTTCGCGATATAGCGGCACTCTGTGTAAAGGGAGCACTTACAGTGCGTGCATAATTATTATGCACATTGATATTCTGATCACATTTTTTTCCAAGCACATTTTACCAATTCCAAACCACATCAGTCTTAATAACTACTATTATTTTTGTATTTAATCATTTATAAGTGATATATATAATTGTCCATGAAGGCTGGAAATGAAAAACACCTTATTAAGGTGTGCAGAATTATTAGGCAAGTTCTTTTCCGGATGAAATTAGCCAAAAAAAAAAAAATAGCTCAGACTGAGAAGTCAAAAATGATTACATCCCCATGAGAAATATTAAAAACTAATGCAATACAGAAATTGCTAAGTTAAGACATGACCATTGGTCAGCAAAATGCTCACTGGGTCAGCAGGGTCAGGAAAAATACAGGTGGAGAAGAAAAGACAAACATTAACTGATAAAGAATTAAGAATTAATGTGAAGAATTTGGTGTGAAACCATCAGGAAGCATTTAGTCTCCAGCACCAGCATTTTTCAGAACTGCAACCTATACCTGCAGTCTCCAGAAGTACAAGGTGTCCGGTTCTGAGAGACTTTGCATGGGTAAAAAATCCTAAGAAATGACCCTCATTTAATTAGAATAACATTCTGAAGTGTTGTGAAATAAAGATTTATTTCAAACACTCGACTGACTTTATGAAGTGAGTTTGGAGTAAAAACATGTTATTAAATGTGGTATTTTCACATGCTTTCAGATGGAGCAGCATTTACTTCACAGAGCCGTAGTTCACTAGTGCCTGTCCATAATTGCCAAAGCATGAAATTAATTTTCTGTGTTTGCTGATGCCCTGTTTACCATGAGGTCAATTGCACAAAATAAATGTTTTCAGGTGGGTTAATGTGTATGCATTAAGCAGTGTATGTTCACTTACAGCGTGTCCAGTCCTATGTCCGAGACATACTGGCCCAAGAATGCAGACCTTCTTTTGCCCGACAGAGAATGGAGGCTGAACATTACAGCTCCACACCAGTGCTAGAGCCCTTCTTGGACAAGAACACTCATCTGAATGAACAAATATTCCAATATCCCTCACCGTTTGGTTTCCTGGACATGAAGAACCAGCTTCAGGAGATCCTGGACCTCCTACCAGCCTCCTCTGAGGAGAGACGTGGAGGGAGGGACTGCCGTCGATGTCTAGTGATTGGAAATGGAGGAATACTGAAAGGACTAGGACTCGGACCTCTTTTTAACCAGTTTGATACCATCATCAGGTGAGAGTCTGCTCTGCTTAATTTCTCTGATTTTACCTAAAGGATGTGCGTGTGGGTTTGTGTGTGTGTGTATGTATATAAATATAAATACAGGACTGTTGTTTGTATGCAGATTGAACAGTGGTCCTGTGCGAGGTTTCAGCGCAGACGTTGGGAACCGCACCTCCATCAGGATGAGTTATCCTGAGGGCTCCCCGAATGTCTGGGAAGACATGGATTCAGATCTTAGATTTGTGGCTGTGATCTATAAGCCTGTCGACTTCCACTGGCTTCGTGCGATGATTACCAAGACGTTCGTTGTGAGTGCTTGTTTGCGCATCAGGCAGATGATTGTCTTGATCAGTGCAGTATGTCTGAATGTCACATTTAACACGTCACCTTTCAGTCGCTGTGGGACTGGCTGTGTTTCTGGCAGAATGTGCCGGTGAGTCTCCCGCTCAAGACCTCTCAGTTCCGTCTGCTGAATCCAGAGATTATTAGAGAGACGGCTTTGGATCTGCTTCACTATCCCAGTGTTAGAGAGCGCCTCTCGAGCTGGGAGCAGGTGAGCTGCTTTTCATTGCTTTTATAGGGGGAAATGTTTAGGTTTTATGTGTTAAAATGATGAACATATTTAACGCAATACCCCGTTCCATCGCCTTACAGTGTCTGATGATCATGATGCAGGATGACTGACTGCATGATGGAATCTGTTAGAATACAGTCACGCGTCTAAAATTCTATAAATGAGGACAAAAAAAATCACCCTCACAGTTCAGTAATATTGTTACATTTCACAGCTGAAAATAGTTCCAATCCAAGCCACAGCAGAACTGTTAAGCATCTCTGATCAACACACAGCGAAACAAATCTCTTTTGAACAAATCAAGTGAATCAGTGACTCATTCATAAAGACAGTCACTTGCTTCATTTCTGAATGAATCAGCCGTTGAATAATGAATCTAGTGAGTCAGGGATCTGGAGACTAATTTGTAAGCTTCGCTTCCAAATGAATCAGCCGTTTGAATGAATTAGTTTAATGAATGACTGAAAAGTTGCAGCCATCTAGTGGTTATAGTTTTGACAGTATCATTTCCTTTTTCTTTTCTTGTTGTTTTTTTTTTAAGTAATATTTCAATATTCAATTCTTTTCATTTTTTGCTTATGAAATATTTCATAGCATCTAGTGTGTGTGTGTGTGTGTTTATAATCAATTCTTAAAATGTTGTTTCTCTACAGAATGTCCCTACTTTAGGAGTGTCTGCTCTCAATCTGGCAACATACCTGTGTGATGAGGTGAGTTTAGCAGGCTTTGGCTATAACCTCAGCCAGAAAGACGCTCCTCTCCATTACTACGACCACAGACTCATGACATCCATGCTAAAGGAAGCCATGCATGACGTTCAGACCGAGACGGTTTTCCTCAAGCGTCTGGTAACGTCTGGCAGTATTACTGACCTCACGGGAGGAATCCACTGCAACTTCTGTTCAAGATGACGGTCTTGACTCCAGATGACTGAGAGGGACAGACTCTCACAGTGGCCCGCGTGAGGAATAATTCAGGAAAGTGAGGGATTTACTGAAAGCAGTCATTGACGCACTACGAATGAAGCACTGCGGAGTGTTTTGCCATGTTTAAAGCTGTGATGCTGATGCTCTGGCTGTTCTGTTTTTTTATCAAATTAAGGCCAATCACAAAAAGACTAAGGTTTTAGATTAAACATTTAATTCATTCATTTTTAGTATCTTTTGTTTTAAAAAGCTATTATGCCAAAGTAAAATATTTTATTTAAAGCAGTTTGGTGGGAAATCAATGCCTATTTTTTGTTTGTGAATGTTTATATTAATAAGCAATAAAACGTAAGCAGATTCTAGTTGTCTGAACATGCAAAATAATATAATTTGTCATTTTCATTATGCATATTATTTTTGTTTGTTAACTGTATTTATATTTTGTGCAATAACTATACTTTTCCAATAGATGGAGCCCTTGTTGTAGAAAATACACTGAACAGTCTAGTAGTAAAGAGAAACGACATTCATCTTTGCTGTATACTTCACGTGAGGTCACAAAATTGCAGCAAACTGTCTTTGATACGTGATAAATTGATTTCTTATTTCCGTTTGCCTTTCTCTCACGTGGACACACACAAACGTTCATACACAGGATACTAATGTTTCCTTTCTGGCTCCTGCCACTATTTTTCAGAACTGTAATGAGCTGAAAGCTCTCCAGCTAAAGACTGCAGCGGTCGTCTTCAGTCTTCCTGCAAGTGTAGATCTTTTAAATGGTTTGTTGTTCTTCTGGGCTGTCTTATTTCAGGAGTATACGGGACAGCATTTATGTCTCAAAAGACCTCCGCAGAATGAGTTTCAAGACAAATGTGTTTGGGTCATTTTCAGTTTCTTGCAAGTCCTAAGTAATGAAGAAATATTACTCACTGATACAATTGTAAGACAGCATTGAGATTTTCACACTCTCCCAGTGTGTAGTTTCAAAGCAGTTTTACAGAAAACCACGTGTTGGCATGTCTTTTATATTTAAGATGCAAGGCACATTGTTAGTTTGTGCTTCATCATTGTTTTTTTTTTATGCTGTACACTAATTAATAAAATATATTTTTTAAAGTCATTTTGTGATGTTGATAAATCATGTAATATTTGGCAGAGAGCATGGATTTCAGTCGTCAATGATATCTACGTTGATAATATTTTTCATAGCTTTTCTCAGTTAACACAAAAATTCTCCCTTTCTAGTGTCCATTTTATTATTTTTTTAGATACTTGCAATTCTTAAACCTTGTTATAAACTCATTTCCCGACTTTCCGAATCTTCACCAAAATCCCATCTAGATTGAATTCTCGAAGTACCATTAGATAAAAAGGGTGCATTGCCTATTGCGTACAGACTGATCTCCTCCTTTTCCATTCCTTCTCTCTCATTTATTCAACTCAATCATTTATTCGATTGGGAAGCGGACCTTTGCCTCACATTTGAGGATGCGACTTGAAAGGTTAGGATAGTGACCCCTATCCCCCAGTAGTATTACAGCACACTGTGAGTGTTTGTTAGCAGGGGTTTGTTTTTGCCATCTGATGGAGCGTTTGGACCCGGAAATAGTGACTTGTAATGTCAGATAGTTCTGTAGCTGGCAGAAGAACTGTGTAGAGCAGGGGTGCCCAAACTCGGTCCTGGAGGGCCGGTGTCCTGCAGAGTTTATTTCCATTCCTTCTCTCTCATTTATTCAACTCAATCATTTATTCGATTGGGAATCAGACCTTTGCCTCACATTTGAGGATGCGACTTGAAAGGTTAGGATAGTGACCCCTATCCCCCAGTAGTATTACAGCACACTGTGAGTGTTTGTTAGCAGGGGTTTGTTTTTGCCATCTGATGGAGCGTTTGGACCCGGAAATAGTGACTTGTAATGTCAGATAGTTCTGTAGCTGGCAGAAGAACTGTGTAGAGCAGGGGTGCCCAAACTCGGTCCTGGAGGGCCGGTGTCCTGCAGAGTTTAGCTCCAGCTTGCCTCAACACACCTGCTGGAAGTTTCTAGTATGCCTGTAAGAGCTTGATTAGCTGCTGCAGGTGTGTTTGATTAGGGTTGGAGCTAAACTCTGCAGGACACTGGCCCTCCAGGACCGAGTTTGTGCAGCCCTGGTGTAGAGTATTCAGACAGATGGATGTGGTTTGCCTGATATTGTGGAACACCACTTTTGGTGAGGTTCACAGAATTCTTGTCCATCACATGGTTTCATTTATGCCTTCAAGCCCTGTGCTGGAACTGAGCCTCATATATGAATGGGGTCACACTTTTACGGTTCTGTGTTTTAATGCTTTACTTTCCTTTAGCTGAGAAGACGAATCATTAAAACAAATATCCTTTGGGTTATTTCATCTCTGTCCTGTTTCTCCTTGCCTAGACAGCAACTTGGGAAACATCTTTTGGAATAAGACTGATCCGGTAGCTTGTGAATGGGTGTGAGATCTGCATGTTATACAGATGTGCCAGCCTGATGATATTCAGTTTTCAGATTAAATCATTTATATGAGAAACTAGCACTGCCCCCCAGACGAGAGCCAATAATGATTTTGTCTGAGCTATGAATAAAATATAAAAATTAAAGAATTCACATTTTATTTGTATTATCTTATTGTTTTAGTAGATAGAATAAGTATGTTTTGGGCTAGATTAATTATTTAAGCTCCATATCCTTGCGAGTCACGACTCGTGATTCTCAGCTTGAGAGGACTCCCTTTTCATTATTTTCCCTCTTTAGCAAGTTAACAAAAATTCATTTTTTTTTTTTATTATAAACCCACCCATTTATTTCTGGCTGAATTGCACAGGCGATTTGGAGCGATGTTCTTGAGTGTGGCGTGAGATGCAGTATTCAGTTTAAGCAGCATGTGCGCAAGCCTTAAGATTCAGCCTCGGCTTGTGACAGCTGAAATGGATCTTGTGAAATGTGTGATCGCATCGCCGATTACTCTTGAGAAACTTAAAGATGAAGTCTACAGAAGGACCCCCCCAAGCATAAAAGTGGAACTCCGCCTATGGCCAGTCTGTGCCTGTATGAATGGACTCGGTGATGTTACGCATGTAGAAAGAGAGGGGGCCCAGCATCGACCCCTGTGCTACCCCACTGGTTAAACACCTCTCCTTCCCAAAAGAGCTTAAAACTTCTGCCCATCTGGAAGGACTCAAATCAAGGTTCAGCAGAATGAGAATGGGACAGATCTTGAGGCAGGTCTCACCAAATGATGGAGACAGAGATGGACATTCACCACCTTTTAGAAAGACTGTGGTAACACTATAAAGACCTGTTTGTGTAAAAGAGTTGGCCTTTAAATGAAAGGCACAAATGAAAAAAAATAATTACTGGTAAAGAAAATTACAATGCAAATCGCTTAATGAAAGCAAAACGGAGTTGTGATTGTTGTGGTGTAATTGTACAGCATCTGGAGGTTTAGAGAAGCAAACCTCTTGTTAAAAGAGAACTATTATGCCCCTTTTTACAAGATGTAATATAAGTCTCTGGTGTCCCCAGAATGTGTCTGTGAAGAAACAGATCATTTATTCTATCATTTTTGAAAATGCCTATTTTGAGTGGAAGCAGAAACAAGCTGTTTTCATGCATGTCTTTTTAAATGCAAATGAGCTGCTGCTCCCCGCCCCCTTTTCCAGAATAGAGCTGCGCCTTTACAGCTCGTACCTCAGATACTCTGCTAAAAACATCTGTTTGGTTTTGATTGTCACATCTATTGCACTGAAAACGTATTTGCATGCTTTTTAAAGCCATATCAGTTTAAACTTCTGATATAGGGTTTTCTGAGAGCGCACAGCCGAAGCGTGCACACAGAAAGTGTCTGTCACACGGCATGTGAGTACTAAACTAACTTCTCTTCCATGCCTTATTGCACTTAAACTGTCAAATACACACATCTGTGCGGCAACAGTGTAATATACAGTAAATAAATCAATAAATCCTTGTCTCCTCTGAGGCTGGGACTCTAAACAGTGTTCTGTGCTCATCAGTGCAGCCAAAGACAGAACAGTTAGCATCAGGGTTGCCAGGTTTTCACAACAAAACCAGCCCAAAACTAGCCTTATCTCATTTTGAGGGAGAGGGGTTTTTTTGTTTGTAAAAATCGCTTTCTGGGGGTAAAATACATGTTTTTGGCAAGGTTCACCTGGTAAAATTTGCATTCCAAGGGCTAATATTACGTTATTGGGGTCGCTACAACCCGCAGACATGAAAAACAACCTGTGGCAACAGTGTTAAAGTAGCCCAACTCCGAGGACTTGGCAACACTGGTTAGCATGCTTTGCTCAAACTTTCACCATGGCGTTAGAACTGGTACACCATTGTCGCTTGCAAAAACACGATGGCGGCACCATGGGTGGAAACTTGCAGATTAAGGGGCGGAAATATTATAATAATATAATAAAGATCTCCTTTTTATGTCACAGGGGGAGCAAAATCTGAGTGGCTCAAAACTGGGTTCTATTTCACATTTTCTGGGTTGGTAGATGCACCGGGGACTGATTATTGCACTTAAACACAGAAAAAGTCAGATTTTCATGATAAAGAGAGAGATACACTGTTTTAAGCAGTGCTGTAAACATGCTTTCCCTGTTCAGAGTTTACCTTTATCTCGCCTTTAAAGGAAATCTGCACAGCATAGGACATGTAAAAAGACATTGTCAATGGAAATGTGCAGGTTTTTCAGACATGCTCATGTGAGATGGAAGCAGACTGTCTGGGGTGAGTTCAGTAAAGAAGACCAATACTGTCTGAGTGCTGTCGTTCGGATAGAAGGAATGACGTATTCAAAGACTGCAATGTGAGATCTTGACGTGGTGGACAGAACAGGGAAAGCATGTTTACAGCACTGCTTAAAACGGCGTCTCTGTCTTTTTCTGGCAGTATCAGCTGACCACGGTAAGACAGTATGACCATAGAAGATGATTTGTGAGACAACATCATGTGAGGTTACTTGCTAGAATTCTGAACACATTCAGAGCGGAACACAGTTCCAGAATAATGTTACTTCGTACATACAAAGTTTTATATTAATAAAATACAAGAAATATTTTGTGCACGTTTCTCTGAAATATTTTTTGAACAGATGGCTCATCTTCACATAAAATAAATAAATTGTTGCTTTTTCTATGGACTAATTATTTGTTATATCATGTGATGATAGACATCTTCAAATAGAAGTAGCTGTCTGATTTCATGACGAATAATCTGACCACGTCTCCATGCTATTTCAAATCATTTTCATGGATGTTTTTTGATGTTTTCACTAAAAGGAGTTGAATTTATTACAGCCTAACAACCTAATGAAAGTGACTAGTAGGTTTGGCCTTGATGAGCAAACACAAAGACTTGTCACTGCACACAGACGTGTGTGAGCTCACACACTCTCACAACACACCGCAGTCAGCAAACAACTGCTGAGATGACAGCCTCTAAAATCATCACGTAACCTGTCCAAAAATATGATCTTCTGCCACTTACAACCTTAAAAAATGAACTAAATCATAATCCGAACTAAATGTAAGTAGATAAAAAAAATGCTTATAAATCACTCAATGATCTAAGTTATGTACTATTTGTACTACACTTGTGTGTGTGTGTGTGTGTGAGTGAGTGAGTGAGTGTGTGTGTGTGTGTGTGTGTGTGTGTGTGTAAAAAATGAACTAAATCATAATCCGAACTAAATGTAAGTAGATAAAAAAATGCTTATAAATCACTCAATGATCTAAGTTATGTACTATTTGTACTACACTTGTGTGTGTGTGAGTGAGTGAGTGTGTGTGTGAGTGAGTGAGTGT